TACAAATATGTAAATATGTTAAGGTTTTTTTCAAATATTTGGCTTCAGTTTTTAAAACGGTCTAAAGCTGAAACAATTTCCAAAACGTGTTTTACATGGCTGATTTTTTGAGATGTCAATGCAATCAGACGCAATTTTATTTTTTATAGATGAAGATTAGACCCACAGCTATGTTCTGATGTAAAATATCCATGTTGCTATGTTGGCTTCAATAGTTACGGCTTCCTAAAATTTATCGCATTTTTTGTACTATTAGACTATGACTTATTTTTTGTACTATTAGACTATGAATTTGGAAAAAAAAATTTTGGATTTATCATTGCATTTAGTATTGCACAGCTGTCTGATTCTTACTGACAATGGCTTTTAAATTAGTCGATCAAAAATAAAAACGTCATTAATCAGTCAATTATAAAATAGAGTAACCTTTAGTAGGACATATTGTCTCCACGATAGTGTTAGTTTTTTTTCTTTCGTAGATTAAATTAGAAGATTAAGATTTTTTTTTAAAGATATTTAAAACTTAAAAATAAATCTGTGTTGTTAAGAGTAAATATTTTAAAAATACGGATAAATAAAAACATCTTTTTGTCTAATATACAGAACTGAAAACTTGATATGTATGTAGAGATTTCAATCTGGAATATTCTTAAACTTGTAAAAAGAAAAGAAAATAATTGCGCGAATTTAAATAAAAAAATTAAATTTGCGCGCAATTGCAAAATAAAACGTAATAACTTTGGTACCAACTTCTTATAAAATAATATTTTGGTACCAACTTTCCATTTTGTAATAATAATAATAATAATAATAATAATAATAATAATAATAATAATAATAATAATAATAATAATAATAATAATAATAATATTATATTTCAAATCTTTTACTAAATTTTTTTTTCTTTTAAATACTTTAATTTTTGTGTATTATTGTAATATTACAATATTATCACTATTGAATTGATCACTAAATATTATTGTAATATTTAGTGATCAATTCTATTTTACTATTTAGTCTTTTTTTTTTTTTTTTAATCATTCATGCTTTGTTAAATTAATTTATGGAAACCCTAAATAACTTTTTAAAACTACCTATTCATTGACACATCCATTTTTAATCGTTTCGATATTAGTGTTCTTTTAAAAGTCTCTTCAAATTTCGCGCATTTAGAAACTTTATAACTGGCATAACTTTACCTTACGCAAACTACTCATAATTACAAGTTGACTTTGATCGACATCTGAGTGATAGTTTTTGCTAAGTACAAATGTACTTCGAGCGACTCTTATAAAAAGTTCATTTAAACAAATGACCTTCTGAACTATATTGAAAAAAATTTAACTGAGCTATCGGATAATTTTTTTTTTAATAAATCCCCAAAAAATAGAAATCTCCAGTATTTCGGTGTAGTATGATATTTTTACTCCCGTGATTTTTTTACTCCCCAGTAAAAATATTGTATGAAATTTTTACCGCGGAGTAAAAAAAGCATATGAGATTTTTACTCTCACTATGTTATTTTTACTCCCGAGTTGTTATTAGCGGAACTGCATATCAATAAGACATGCATTCCAGATTTGCAGATATTTTTGCAGATATTAGTTACTTAAAATACAAAATATATCCAAAAGAAGTTTTAAATAAAGACGATAAAGACAATAAAGCCAATTTTAGAAGACAAACTAAGCCATTTATAGTTGATAATAATGAGTTATATCATTTAAATAAAGCTGCAAAGGTATGCTATTACTTCAAAATGTTTTAATAGTTTTGTCATTTTACAACTAGAATCTAGTCACCAAATAAACACGAATATTTACAAATAATTTATTTAATAAATAATGAAAATTAGTTTAGTTTTGATTCTCATTATATTGATCGTTAACAGCTTTTTTTTTTTTTCGAGAAAAGTTATTTGGAGTAGAGATCAACAACAAAAAATAATAAAGTTTGTTCATGAAGAAAACGATGTCTCTGTTGAGTCTAAGACTATATAGGAAACGATGTCTCTGTTGAGTCTAGTCTGTTGAGTTGAGTTATCTGGTCATACAGGTATTAATAACTTAGCCTATCACATTCAAAGTATATTTTTCTAATATGGAATTATAAAAGATATTACAACTTATGTTTCAAAATGTGACCAATGGCATAAGTCAAAGAACAGAAAACTTCAGTCAAAACCATTGCTGCAAAATATTTCAATTCCTAAAGGCAATATGAAGCAGGTAGGAATCGATTTAACACAGCTACCAGAAGTTAACGATTGCAAATATCTGGTTGTATTAATCGACTACTTCAGTAAATGAGTTAAAGCAGAAGCACTTACCAATAATACTGCTAAAGCTGCGGCTTTTTTTTTTATATAAACAGATATGTCGACATGGCTGTTTTGAAATTCAAATAAACGACCAGGGTCGTGAGTTTGTAAATGAAATTTCTAAAGAACTTTACTCAAAAACAGGAACAATTCAAAGAATTACGACTGCATATCATCCTCAAGCTAATGGATTAGTAAGGAGACAAAATCAAACAATTAAACGTATATTAGTAAAAGTGCTTGATGAGGCTGCTCTGGAACGGCCATACATTATTGATAGTGTTTTGTTTTCTTTAAGAGTTAGAAAGCACAAGTCTCTAGGGTTTTCACCGTTTGCATTAATAGGAAGAACTGCTTCCCTTTACCAAAGGGAAGCAGTTCTTCCTATTGATATAAACTACAATTTAATTGACTTTAATGATGACAACGCTCTTAGCAATGATAATTTCTCTAACAAAAAAATAGTTTTAGATACCTTTCATGCAATGAATAAAATGAAAAATACAATTTTTGACGATGCTTATGAAAATATTGAAAAATCTCAAAAAAGACAAAAACATGATTACGACATAAGAATTGTACCAAATAATAAAACTAGCATAAATAAAAAAGTGCTACTAAGAAATAGCAAACGTGATGATAGAAAAGGTGGTGAACTTGTAAAACCTTGGACTGGACCATTCATTGTAACTTCTATTTCTAGCACAAATAACTGCACTTTGAAAAATCTAAAGGGTCAAATTTTGAAAACAAAGTACAACTCTACAAAGTTATGTTTATATAATGAAAAAATAACAAATGATGAACAAGAAATCACATTTAATAAAATTAATATGCAAATTTTTAATGATAAGATCGGAAAATATGCAACTATTGAAATGAAAACTTCTATTTCTTTAAAATTTGGAATTGGTATTACCAAAAATATTTTTATTGCAAATATTAATTTATTTTCGCATCCGAAACAAATACACACCATAGGCGATGGTAATTGCTTTTTTAGGGCAATATCGTATATCATTACAGGCAGTGAAAGCAGTTATGAAATATAGCTTTAACTGGGACGGTTTGTATTAACAAAAAAAAAAACATTTTTTTTTTAATTAATTACGCCCAAATAATTAATTTTTTTTAATTTCAAATTTTGTAAGTATATTCTTCAATGAATTGCCTAAAGTAAAAAAAATAATTGGATGCTTTATGTTAGTTCTTATTTGTTGACATTTTTGTTATGCTTTGTTGTGTTTACTATTTTAAATAAATAAATATATAAATAAATAAATAAATATATATATATATATATATATATATATATATATATATATATATATATATATATATATATATATATATATATATATATATATATATATATATATATATATATATATATATATATATATATATATATATATATATATATATATATATATATATATATATATATATACTAACTTTTATTTTATTTGTATTTTATTTTTTTTTTATTTTTTTTTTTAAGCTGATTAAGATTTATTATAACATACATATTTACAACTAGTATTATATAAACAAACATGACTCACTACAATATCTAACTAACGCACGAGTTCTAATGCGTTCCACATGAACGCACCCTTACCAATCATAATGTTATATATTTCGTTACCAACTCTCAACAGTTCCCCCTGTTTGGGAAAGTTTCTATTAATACACAAATAAATAAATCGTGTTTAGAAATTTTTAATAGTAAAACTTTATAGATCTATTAATTCGCTTTGGATATGATTTTCTTTTAACTATTTTTCTTTCGATACCATTTACTAGTGTTTCACGTTGTATACTTTGGGCTTCAGGTTTTAAGACTTTTTTTATAAATTGTATATTACGCGCCAACTCGTTTTCTTCTTGATCGACTACAATGATAAAATTTTGCTTTCTGTCTTTAACTATATATTTCTTGTTTAAATATTTTGAGTCTAATTTTCCTCCCGGTTTATGGCGTTTAAGAAGAATCTGACCTCCCACTTTAATTTCATCGCTCTTCTTTGCATGATGTTTTATATAAAAATATTCTTGTACTTTCTTATACTTTTTATCTTTACGTTTTCTCACTACTTTGTCATAGGGTGATTTTTCAATTACTATTGGGGGAAACTTATTTTTGATATTTCTATTGAATAATAACGTAGCTGGTGGTTTGCCAGTTGTAGCATGAGGTGTGCATCTATAATTTCGAAGCATGAAGTTCCTCTCTCTAACTTTTCCCCATAAAATGAGTTGTTTTAATTGTTTTTCCTATAACTTGCATAAATTTTTCTACGAATCCCTTTCGCTTGCGGATATTGAGGCGTTATTTTAATGTGCTTTATGTCAACATTTTTAAAGTATAGTTTTAATTCTTCGCTTTGAAACGGTGGTCCGTTGTCACTTCGAATTTTGTTAAGATAACCAAGTATAGTAAATAATTTTTCTAGTTTACTTATGAAGCTTTAAGCTGTTGTGGTTTTTATTATATCAACAAATGGGTATCTTGAATATAAATCTTCTATAACAAATAAATACTCTCCTGACGGTAATGGTCCAAAAAAATCCATTGCTAAATCATCCCAAACATGTTCTGGTAAATTGACATTTTTTTTGGTTCAAGATTTGGAACACGTGAATTTGCTCGATATCCCAAACACTTTTTAACATATACTTATATATCGGTATTCATAGTGACCCAGTAAACTTTTTGTCGCAATAAGCCTTTGCATTTTTCAACACTTAAATGCCCTTTATGTACAATTCGTAAAGCTTTTTTTTGAAGCGTCTTTGGTAAAACAACTTTTTCTCCTCGTAATATGATTCCGTCAAGATCAGTTAACTCATTTTGAAATTTACAATACGGTTCAAGTATTGGATTGTCATGCCGACAACCCGACAACAACGCTGCTTTTATTGTAATTAAACTGATGTCAATTGCTGTCTCTGATTTTATATCTTCGAGTGATACTGATTTGGGTGCCATTTTTGTCACTAAGAAATTTACATATGCTGTAATTTCATTTTCATCTGACTCACTAAGTATTTCATTTGGAGTACAGTTTCTAGAGATAAAATCTGCAATGTTCTCTTCTTCTTTTTGATATATTACATCGAAATCGTTTGCCTGTAATTTGATTTGCCATCTTGTAATACGTGCGTTTAATTTAGAACCAGAACAAAAAATGAACTTGAGGGGTTTGTGGTCTACTATGACCTTAAATTTTTTTCCATATAAAACAAATGTAATTTTTCAATCGCTATACCAAGGCAAGAGCTTCCTTTTCTGTAATACTATATTTTAACCAATCTACTACTTATGTAGCAGATTGGTTTACTCCATGTTCTTTCTTTTTGTAAGAGTATACCACCTATGGCATGATTACTAGCATTGGTGATTAACTGCACTTCTTTGTGCGGATCATAGAAAGCCAGAACGGATTCACTTGATAACTCACGTTTAAGCATGTTGAAAGCATCATAATGTTTTTTTTCCCACTTAAATTTTGAATTTTTCTTTAATAGTTCCCGTAGTACTGTTGTTTTTTCACTAAAGTTTTTAATAAACCTTGATATATATGTGCATAAACCAAGGAAACTTCGAAGCTCACTGACCGTTGGTGGTGATGTTGCATTCTTGATAGCTTCTACTTTGTTTGGATCAGGATTAATACCATTTTTAGATATTTCAATACCAAAAAATTTTATTTTTTTTTGAGCAAAAATACACTTTTTTTTTATTTAACTTCAGACCTAATTTCCTTCTTTTGATAAACAAAAGTTCTAATTTTCTTAATAAGTCTTGTTCGTCTGATGCGTATATTATAATATCGTCACTGATAAATTTTTCTCCCTCTACCATAGATTTTATTTTGCTCCATAGTTTTATGAAAAAATTCGAACGAATTGTTGATCCCATACACTAATCTTTTGTGTCGGTAGACTCCCTTATCCGTTTGAAAATTTGTAATTTTTCTTGATTCGATATCCAACTCTAGCTGAGTATAGGCTTCATTCATGTCTAGTTTGGCAAATATTTTTGAACCATGCTTTTCATCTGTTACCGAATCTAATGTAGGTATTGGGTATCTTTCACGTTTAATTGCTTTGTTTATGGTTCTAGCATCAAGACATAACCATACTGTCTTATTTGCTTTTGGTACAGTTACAAATTACTTATCCATTCTTGTGGTCCTTCAAATTTTTCAATAATGTCGCTTTAACTCTGCTCGAATGTCTTTTTGAAGGTGATAAGGATAACAACGCAAATTTTGCGCAACTGGTTGTATGTTTTTGTCTACATAAAGTTTGCATTGAAAATTTTTTAATTTACCATGTCCTTCGAATATGTCTTCGTATTTTGCAATTAACTTTGTCAAATTATTTTTAAATTTTAAAGTGACTTTACAATTTAAATCAATATGCTCAAAACTATTATCATTTTGATTCGTTGGAAGTTTGATTTTATCATCAATGTTTTTACACACGTTAGAGTGCTGTACAGCTTCAACTGACTTATTATCCACTGAATTCATATAGTGTTCTTTATTATTCACAAACTTAACACTTTCTGCAATTTTTAAAATGTTCAACTCCTTAACATTTTCAATTCTTATTATATTTCCAACATTATTTTAATCTACGATATATATATATATTGTTTGTAGTTATTTTGTTTTTAGCTTCAATTTCAGTTTGTTTCTACTTGAAACCTATTAATTTTAAAGGCTTTGAAGCATATGGAAAGATGGTTGTTGATGATTTCTTGATTATTAAATTAGGATTGTTGCTTCTAATTCTTTCAAAAGTATTTTTATCAATTAAGTTCATACTGGAACCTGAGTCAATAATCATTTTAATCGTGACATTTTCCACTATTACATTTATTGTTTTTGTTTTATTAGATTGTCTTTTCCGTGTTGAACTACATGTCAGAGCAAGCGTTTCTACTAATTCATTTTCTGAGCTGTGTTCACTTTTAGCGATGTTATTTATTTCATTAACTTGTCGGTTTCTCCTATACAACGGTTAAAGGGTATTTCTGCAACAAATAGCTAAATAATTTTTTTTTTGACATTTGAAACACATTTTTACCATGGCTTTGGAACCATTTTGGTGTCCAACAAAGTACTTCTCCCCACATCGAAAACATAACAAGTTATTTTCTTTTTTGTCTATATTATCATTTCGACTAGGTCTCGATTTAATGTTTGTCGTTTGTTTTCTTCTTCTAAAAAAGGCTTGTTTTTCTAAATGATCTACTACGTCGATTTCCTCTGAGCATACATTAGCTTTTTTATAAGACATTTCTTTTGCCTGTTGTTCTGACACTTCCATGTTTTGACCAATCTCAATACATTTCTCGAGATTTATTTCTCTATCTTTAAGGAGTTTTTGTTTTAATTTTAAAGAATAACACGATAATATGAACTGACCTTTCACTTTCTCTGTAACATTTGGAAAGGCACAATACTCCGCTTGTTTTTTTAATCGCGTAATAAAACTCACTGTACTTTCCTCTTCATTTTGTTTGATCCTCGTAAAGACGTAACGTTCGTATGTTATATTCTTTTGTTGGGCTAGAGCTGGCGTCGAACCTGGGACCTCTGGGTTCTGAGCCAGAACTCTAACCACTGCGCCACGGTTATATATATATATATATATATAAACCAGTTTTTGACTACCATGCAATATATATATATATATATATATATATATATATATATATATATATATATATATATATATATATATATATATATATATATATATATATATATTAGAAAACGAATGGAATCGAAAGCACACAATAGTCACGATAAAGGAAAGTTTGGAGGTTTATATTAGCCGCTTGGGACACTTTTAGTGTGGGATCTTTTTATTTTAGATTCTAAGATACTTAAAACGCAAGTTGGTCAAATCAAATTTAGTTACTAGATGGGTATAACAATAGTGATTGAATTTCATGCCACAGACGCCGGCCTAAACGTTTTTAATAAAATATTTTATTCAAAATTTTTAGCTTTCAAGCATTATTTGTTGTTTTGTGTAAAAAAACTCAGTCATAAAAAACTATTACAAAGAAAAAAAATTTAAACAAAGAAAAATTTTGACCGTCGTAAATAAATTTACACCTGTATTTTGTCCCGACTAAGATCTAAAAAAAAAAAAAGGTTTTTGTTGGCAGACTTGCCGACTATTTGCCGACTGCCAACTATAAATATGATTTTGCTTTATAAATTATATATATATATATATATATATATATATATATATATATATATATATATATATATATATATATATATATATATATATATATATATATATATATATATATCTACACATTTATTTTTAATAAATGTAGATATATATATATATATATATATATATATATATATATATATATATATACATATATATATATATATATATATATATATATATATATATATACAGTACCGAACTTAATTAACTGGGCCAGCTGATTCTTATACAAAGTTATGACTTTCAGTCCATATTGTTTGATTAATTGACTTTTGGAAGTTAGGCAAACCTTTTGAAAAGTGATAATAATAACATTGAAGTTGATTTGTAAAATTAAATAAATATTTCTAAGAGGTTAGTAGATATTTAATAGTATTATTTGTGTACTTGGTGTAAAATTTAGTAAATTTATGATATTCATGTGTTGGAATAATATGAAATAAAAGGAAATTATGTTATTGTTATATTAATTTGAGTGATAATACAAGTTATCCAAATATGCATACAGGTAGTTTCATCCAAAAAAGTTGAAAAAACAATAAATATTTATTAATTATTTTAATTTTTTGGTATTTTATAAGAAAAATTAAGATAAATTGAAACAAAATAATTTAAAATTAAATTTAAAGTCAGCAATGCTTCCAATATGTAATATTGTGTCAAATAAAGCAGAATTTGTATAAAAGTTAAGTTAAAATGGTATATTTTATCTTTTTAGAGAATGACTGGAGCTAAGAGGTTAAGTATGGAGACGCGGATGAGGGTAGTCTTGCTGGCCGAGCAAGGTCATTTGCATCGCCAGATCGCAACAGACCTGAAAATCAACCGCAAAACCGTTGATTCATTGGTAATAAAGCATAAGAATACCGGCAGTGTTGGGGATTTAGCTGGAAGAGGGAGGAAGCGAGCTACCACTGAGCGAGAGGACAGGCAGCTCATCCGCATGTCAAAGCGTAACCGATGGTTGACTTCGCCGGAGCTGAAAAAGGCATGGAACGAGAACTACGGAGTTGACGTAACCAGCCATACTGTGCGTAAGAGACTGCGGGCAGCTAATCTGCGTGGTTGTGTAGCAGCAAAGAAACCACTTCTGTCCGAGAAGAATCTTCGCAGCGGCCTGGAATGGGCGAAAGCTCATAAGGATTGGACGGTCGATGACTGGAGCAGAGTGTTATGGTCAGACGAGAGCCCAATTGAGTTGTTCTGTGCTGCAAAGCGTGCCTTTGTGAGAAGGAGACCAGGGGAGAGATTTAATGCTGACTGTATTCTGCCAACAGTAAAACATGGGGTTGGGTCAATAATGGTATGGGGTTGCATGAATGGTTTCGGGACGGGAGAACTTCGGCAACATAGCTGATTCCAACAACTCTATGTATCGGTTTTTAACCAAAACCGATACATAGAGTTGTTGGAATCAGCTATGTTGCCATCTGCTGCAAAGCTTTATGATGGTCAGCAGTATATTTTCCAACATGACAATGCACCTTGTCACACAGCAAAGACTGTGACCACATTTCTCAGGTCTAAAGGTGTCACAACGATGACTTGGCCGGCCCAGAGTCCGGACATGAACCCGATTAAGAATTTGTGGGAAGTGCTATTCAAAAAGGTGCAGAACAGAAAGCCAAGTAATCTGGAGGAATTGTGGCACATGATTTCCAATGCCTGGAATAATATATCACGTGACACTCTCCAGAATCTGGTACAGTCAATGCCGCGTCGCTTGAGGGAATTATTGAAGGTCAAGGGTCGAAGTACAAAATATTAGATTTTTTTTCTTTCAATGACTGAATTTCTTTGTTATATTGTTATATTTACATATTTTGTACATGATTATATATTACTATTCTCTACCTAAATAGAAAAATCTCTACCTAAATAGAAAAGATAATAATGCTAGTATTAATTTCGATATTAAAAATATGTGTATAGAACGGGTAACAGCGGTTTATCAAACATTTTTTAGTATTCATTTTGACTTATTTATCATGAGTTTCATGTGTAAAATAAATTCAAAGTTTAAAAATGTATATATTCTTTCATAAACAAAAAATTATAATTTAAATTTTATGATATTAACACAATAAAACATTCACTTTTTGACCAATTAAGCTGTAAAGCTTGGTTATTTAACTGTTTATTTTAGCGAAGACTCATAAGGTGAAATGCAATAAGCAAACTTGAATCAAGCTCGACTTGAACTTTACATTGCAACCAATTGCGACAGAGTATAGGTTTTCCCCTCAAAAAATACTATGTCGCTATTGGTTGCAAAGTAAAGTTTAAGTCGAACTTGACTCAAGTTTGCTTCTTGCATTCCACCCTTAGATTTAATAGCCACTCAAACAATTCTCGTTTGGAGATTTTTGTCCAAGAGTCTCATAAAATTAAAGAAATTATGAATAAATATAATCCGCGTAAAATAGTTTTATATTTGTAACTGTTTTCTGCTCTCTTACTTTTACCTTGTAATTTATAATTTTTTACTATTTTTTTTATAGACTTTCTGAAAAGTTCTTATGCTTTAATTTTTTTACTTTTCTTTTAAAGTGTAAAACTTTATTATTATTGCCTATTATTAGATTTTCTAGATTCTTTCAGTAATTCTAGATTCTTTCATTGTTTTAATAACTTTTGCGTATTGTGTCATCTGCATTTTAGCATCTAGGAGACAAAAATTATCTTTTTAAATATATTGAAAAAATATCACACAGTTTTTTGATGCAAAAATAATTGATTTGAAAGTGTCCTATTTCTTTCCCTTCTTTAGTACGCTATTATATTTATCTTAAAATGATAGCTACATTTCGCTTTCCATTAAAATATCTTTTCAAAAATATATTTAAACAATTCTACATACAAAACGCACATTGCGTATGTGATAGTGACCAACGTGTGACTATCAAATATCTTCATAGGTAATTTTTAATTTACTCTCTCGCCATATTTATAAGTGCCGGTCCACCATGTGCTTGAATTTCCTGAATAAAAATATGTTCTTATAAACTGTTATACAAATATTTTTTAATATGTATATAAAAAAAACTTTCTGTTTATATAAGATATTATTTTTATTATTATATTATATGTAATTAATATACTTTTTATTAAAAAATTTATAATGTTAAGCATTTCTTAAAATTAAGATATTTTTTAATGTTCTAACTACTTTTTTTACATCATAATATAAACAAAATATACTTCCGTTACAAAATATTGTATTTAATCAAATAATGCTACAATAAATTTTACAAAAAAACAAAAACAAAATATAACAGTCAGTTAAGAAAGAAAAAAAAAATTAAAGTTGAATAAGTGCAGTAGTGAATAAATGCGGTAGTAGTCTAGTGGTGGAGCGCTCGCTTCATAAATAGGAGATTCCGAATTCGATCCCCGCCACTTCGTACTTTCTGGTACCACGCTCAGCTTATTTCTCCGCGCAGCTGTGTCTGTAGTGGTCTTATCGACCTTGGTAAAGTAAACTAAAACTTAAAAAAAAAGTCTAATCAGCGAGAACTTTAGGGTAATACGCAATCTACATATAAATATTGTAAATCTTATGCAAAAATATTTGAAAAGTTATTGCCATAAAAATTTTTTTTGTTTTTTCTAATTAAGTTATGATTTTTGTGTGTATTTTTTATTTTATTTGTTTATATTTAATGTTAAATTATATATATATATATATATATATATATATATATATATATATATATATATATATATATATATATATATATATATATATATATATATATATATATATATATATATATACATATATATATATATATATATATATATATATATATATATATATATATATATATATATATATATATATATATATATATATATATATATATATATATATATATATATATATATACATACATATTACTTTTTTTAAGTATGTTGGGTCTATGTTTAATTTTTAATAAAATAACATAAAAAAAAGCAAATAAATTATTTTTGCTCTTGTAAAAGTGATAGCTGTAAAATTTTATTTTTCATAAAAAAAGCAATTTTTACTAAAAAAGTATGTATTTTAGTAACTCCCTTAAAAATAA